GCTGTCCCTCAGCTCTTCAGCTCAAGGTGAGCGCTCTACCACATGAGCCACAGCGCCACTTCCGGTTTTCTGGTGGTTTAACTGGAGATCAGAATCTCACAAACTTTCCTACCCGGGCTGGCTTTGAACCCCAATCCTCAGATCTCAGCCTCCAGAGTAACTCGGATTACAGGCGTGAGCCACGGGTACCCGGGTTAGCCCCACCATTTCTAAGTCTCAGCAAACCCTTGAGAAAATCCAGAATCACAACACTCACATCCGCTGTGGGCTTGTGTCAGAAAAAAGTGAGCCTCGCATTTCTTTTCCACTGACGAAACGTGTCATGGAACATTTTGTGTCCTGAATCAAGTAGTGAGCGGCAGATTCACAGGGAGCCCTCCCAAGCTCTTCCAGGCAGTGCGGGGCTTGGTGTGGAACTGTAGATTCCATATCAAAAACGGGATAGATAGAATGTGTTCTTCTCCCCTCTCCAGGCACTGAACGCCGAGGAGGCCCGCCTACTCCATGTCAAGGAGATCTTACAAATTGACGAGAGAAAGCGGCCATACAACAGTGTATATGAAACTCGAGAGCCCACGGAGGAGGAAATGGAGGCCTACAGAATGAAACGTCAGAGGCCAGATGACCCCATGGCCTCTTTCCTGGGCCAGCAGTAACTAGCCGGGGGAGGTAGTCCAGGGTTCAGTCCAGCATGCACCGCAACCTCATAGATAGAAAAACCGTGACCTGTCCCTTGGGGCCTGACTTCAATAAAGCTTTCAGAAGTCTCAAAGTAATCTCATTCCTTTCCACAGTAAGAAACAAAAGGAAGGGATTGGAGATAGTGGTGTGGAAAGAAGCATTGGCACCCTCTCAAGTGTCTTCTAAGAGCTGAGTGTGGTGATGCATGCTTGTAATTCTGATACTACAGAGCTTGAGGTAGGGGAACTGAAAGTTCAAAGCCAGCCTGGGCCACATAGGGAGACCCTCTCTCAAAAAAGCAAAAACAAACCAGGCACTGGTGGCTTGTGCCTGTAATCGAAGCTACGCAGGAGGCTGAGATCTGACGATGGCAGTTCGAAGCCAGCCCAGGCAGGAAAGGCCATGTTCAGAAAAAGCCAGAAGGAGCTCTGTAGCTCAGGTGGTAGAGCACTAGCTTTGAACACAGAGAAGCTCAGAGACAGCACCCAGGCCCTGAGCTAGCACACAAAGAAAAGATTAGACACCATCCAGTGTACCACATCTTCATAGCCAGCAGGATCACTGTCAAATTTACAGAGAGCGAAACGTGAAGGTCCCTTGACTAAATTATGAAGATGGTCCTCAAGCTTCTGAGAACCTTTTTGTAACATTGATCCAGTGGGATGGGGAAAAGTCACTGACACCAGAAGACATCGACTGGCCGACCAGCATCCAAACCACCATGCTAATCCAGCACCTCGGCAGCAGGTAGGAGGGCAGCTGGGCCAATCCTGTCACAGACTAGATACACACCTGGTGTCCAGATGCCAGCTAATGGAAAAGTTAAACTGCAGTGCAAATCTAATTCTTCAGGACAGCCAAAATCACTGTTCCCATGTTCCTGTCTTGCAGTGGCCCAACAGAAAGTCTGTCTCTGGTGTGTCTATTTTGTATTTTATCTTAATAAAGATGTGGTGAACACTCAACTGTGAATGATTTGTAACGTTTGAAGTAATGTGGTAAAAATGGGTTATAGGACCTCCATGAAGTCTGTGAGTTTGAATTGGAACTTTTAAGCATTCCTTTAACAAAAATAAGTCCCCTAGCCTTTCTATTTGGTCCGGTCATGGGGCCTGAACTCTGGGCCTGGGCACTGTCCCTCAGCTCTTCAGCTCAAGGCTAGCGCTCTACCACTTGAGCCACAGCGCCACAGCCGGCCTTTTTTTTTTCTGCTTACGTGGTTCTGAGGAATGGAACCCAGGGCCTCAGGCATGCAAGGCAAGCGCTCTACCATTGAGCCACCTTCCCAGCCCTATTCCCTCTTCTTCAAGGCCTTATGTACTCTGTTTTAGGAAGAAGTCTGTGATGGCCAAAATCGTTTCTTACATCTTGCTATATTGAGGGAAAAGGGTTTTACCTAGAACCTTATTCAGATACAATCTTTGATTTTCTTTCAACTGCCTTTTCAGTGTATGCTGTAATTCAGCTGGCTTTTTGGTGGTTGTTGGTCATAGGGGCTTTTCAGCTCAAGGTCTGTGCTCTACCACTTGAACCACAACCACTTCTGATTTTGTTTTGCTTATGTTGTGCTGAGGAATCGAACCCTGAGCCTCAGGCATGCAAGGCAAGCGCTCTACCACTGAGCCACCTTCCCAGCCCCTCAGATGTTTTCTCACACTCAAATTTTATGGAGTAGGAGTGGCTAAGTGCGGAGCACATGGGCAGCAAAGATGGCGCTGAGAGGGAGTAGAGTGGGCAGAGCCCGGTTCACCTTACGTTCAGTGCCTAACCAGCCCGTGAAGGCTTAGGTGCATAAATAGGGTGTGACCTTGACAGTGATTGGTTCCTCTTCCTCCCCTGCCATGCCACCCGCCCTTTTTGGCTTTAAAAAGGGCTGCTCTCTGCTAATGAACAAGTTTTCTACCTGCTTGAATTGGTTCCCCACTGTGTCTGATTGTCTCCCGGGCTGAGGGAGACTGGGGAACGGGCGAGCGCCGCACTTACCTTTCCTCGGACCCCGTCCGTCTTTCGTGGGACAGACGAAGATCCAACATCTGGCGCCCAGCGTGGGGCACGAAAGGAAAAGATACCGGCCGAGGCTAAGCAGTCTCTCGGGGTAAGTGAAACCCTTAGTATGGGTAATGCTATTTCACAGAAGGAGGAGGAGGAGGAGGAGGCAACATTAGGCCTAGAAGGAGTACAGGAGGACTTGGGAAATGAGAAGGAAAAGGAATGGGTCAAATTCGACCAGGAACGCACTGGAACATGCGCAGTGGAAGTCAAAACGAGGGTGAAAGTTAACCCCTCTGACCCAGGTGATCCTGATGGTCCTAGGCTCCCTCCCTATTCCCCCGGTTGGAGGGGAGGTACGGCGCCCTACGAGACCTGCGAGAGGGACTCGCAAGACCCAGACCCCTACCAACCTTCCAGGGAGGGGCCGAGGGCCGGGGAAGTAACCTACTCGGAGACCTACCCTGGAAGGGAAGGGCCACCCGAGAGCCCAGACTCTAGGCCACCAGTCAATGTGGCACCAGGAGCTAACAGGCCCTTGGCATGGTATCCATGGAAAGCTAAGGATCTTAAAGAGCTCCGCAAGGCGGTGGCGGAGGATGGCCCGAACTCTCCCTGGGCCCAGACCCTGTTACAGGACATTGCTTATCACCCGTGTGTCCCTAAGGACTGGATGGATGTGGCCAAAGCCGTCCTTACTAGTTCTCAGTTTATTAAATGGCATGCCTTCTTTAAGGAGGAATGCAGAGTGAGAGCAGAGAGTAACCGGCAGGCTCAACCCGCGATACCTATTACCTATGCCATGCTAGCAGGGACGGGGGAAGCCTACTCCACCGGCGTCCAACAGGCCGCAATACCTGGCCCGTACCGTGACCAGGTGAGGCAGGCAGGCCTTGCCGCGTGGTACAAACTGGATGATGGGCCTACTGAGTCCCCCATAGCAGAAGTGAGACAAAAACTGGGTGAGTCTCTACCTGATTTCATAGACCGAGTCCAACAGATCGTTCACCACAAGCTGCCAGCAGGGAACCTCCGAGATCAGTTTGTAAAGCTGCTGGTCTGGGAAGGGATGAATGCAGACCACCGCATGGCCTGCAAGGGATTGAGAGAAAGTTCCCTGAGCAGATGGGTAGTGGCCTCACAGGATGTGGGAACGCAACAGCACCTGTCCCAATCACTAGCTTTAGCTTTCCAGGCTCAGGCGTCTGCAATGACTGAGGCTATTACCCAGGCGCTGGCAGCCCAGGGCCGAGGAACCCCAAGACCATCGGGGAGGGGGACTTGTTTTAAATGCGGGCAGGAGGGGCACTTTAAGAGGGACTGTTCACAACAATCCCCCACCAACCGGCCCGGGGGGGCCAAACTGCCCCCTACGCCCTGCCCCAGGTGCAGGAAGGGATACCATTGGAAAAAGGATTGTCGATCCAAGTTTGATTTAGATGGGAAGCCTTTAAACTTGGGGAGGGGCACCCTCCAGCCCCGTTAGCTCAAGGAGGAACCCCCTCTGCTGTAAGGCCCAGACAGCCTCATGGCAGGGCGGCCCAGGCCCATTGGACCTTCCCCCTGGTGGACGGACTCCGCCCTAAAATGAGTATTCTCATAGGCGGAAAGAGGTTTCACTGCTTAATTGACACTGGGGCAGACCGAACCATACTCATGGAGGAGGAGGTGCCCTTGGACTGGAAGCTTGCTCCCGGTCCCCCGGTATCGGGGGTAGGGGGCAACTCCCAGTCCAAAGAGACGGCCCTTATGACATGGACTAGCCCAGATGGAGAACAGGGAAAGAAACGCCCTTTAGTGGCCAAGAACCTCACTGCCAATTTACTAGGGCAAGACATGCTAAGACAAATGGATGCCGTGGTCACTGCAGACCATCGAGCATCATATGATGACCTGGATGGGGAGGATGAAGCACAAAGGCTTAAACAGGATCTAGAGGGAGTTAAGGAAAAAGGATTTTTTTAACTTTCATAATTACAGAGAAGGACATAGGGGACCCACTCAGGTGCACCCCCAATTCTAAAGGCCACTGCCCCCCCCCAGTACCTCCCATTAGGTGGAAGCCGGGTAGCCCAATCTGGGTGGAGCAGTGGCCATTGACCAAACCTAAACTTGTGGCCCTCCACCTTCAGGTGGAGGAACAGATAAACCTCAGGCTTGTGCGCCCTTCCATAAGTACTTGAAACACACCCGTATTTGTTATTCAAAAAGCCTCCGGGGCTTGGCCTGTGCTCCAAGACCTAAATGAAAGGAACGCCCCTAAGAGGCATGCCCTGGATATACCTTGGTTGTGATTGATATTAAAGATTGTTTTTTTTTCTAACATTTTAAATTTTTCAAAAGGGGCAACTGAATCCAGATAACAGAAGCACTGGGGACAACTAAACCCTAAGCCCCAAGTGAAAATCAGGTGGAAGGACCCCCTGACACAACAATGGAGAGGACCTGACCCCCTAGTTATCATGGGCAGGAGATTTGGATGCGTTTTTCCCATAGGGGAGTCAGCTCCCATTTGGATCCCTGCCAGGAGCCTCAAGTTTTTACTTTGCCTAAGGATAAACTAACCAACAAGGAAAGAAAATGGCCGAGGCTTGTGTTTAAAAGAGAAAAGCCAAAAAGATAACTACTAACCATCCCCAAGGGCACCCAGCCCTTGAGAAGCTCTTGTGTTCTCTAACAATTGCAGATGGCGACACTCCAGCTGTTGGCTGTCCTGAACCTCCCAATCCTGGCAATGGCCCTATGGAATCTGCATCTACCTCAATGGGTGACCTGGGCAGTGATCAGCGCTGGCAATGCAGAAATCGTCAGGAGCACCACAAGAGAAGCTGTCCCTTGGACCTGGTGGCCTGACCTACATTTTTGATCACCACCCTATGTCATTAGGCATGGACTGGTTAATAATTATTTTTAATGTTACCTGCTTTAATTGTTCTTTTACTAATTGTTTGTATAGCACCATTGAATCCATACTTATTGTTAAAAA